AGGAGGCTTGAAAACAGGTTTTATAGGTCAGCTGAATACTGTGTAATGCCACTTCAGCAATATATTTCTTTGATGGGCCAACTGCATACAATCAGACTCTATTTGGCCATGGGGAAAGCGAGTCTTGCCGAATAATAGTTTCTTTTGGCCACATTGTTAAGGCAAAAGCTGTTATATTTTTATCTGGAGTGTCTTTTTTATTTAACATACTGAGCTGGATGCATTATAGGCAGAACATATTTTCTTCATCTGTATCTCTACTGTCTTTGAACCAGATGCTTTGCTTGTTTTGCCGTTGCCAGAAGTGGGCTAAATAGTGCTGCAAACTGGAAATCTCAGTTTCTCCAGTTAGCCTGGGGCTAAATAATGTCCTATTCTTTTTCCCCACTCTGAGGACCGCATTATCTCTAAGGCTTTCTCTAAGTGGGAGCAGTCAGGCGTCTCTTTCAGTAGGTTTGTTGCCTCTTTTCGTTCCATTCATTGCTGATTTGAAGAGGGGCATCTTTCTTCCACAAAGCTGTTGCAGTCTGGCACATTGGGGCAGTCAGCAGTATGGGAACTACTTACCTTGGCCTTGGGCAACCTCTTTCTCTTGGACCTGGATTACCTGATCCCTTTTTTTTTTACTGAGGAATCTTACTGAAATCAGAAGGAAAATGTACACCTTCCTCTCTTCTGGTTCATGCCCCCCGGCACCCATTGGTTTGGGTTTTTTTTTTTTTTTAGGAGAATCTCTGCACTGATGTGGGAGGTACGATACATTGAACATAATGCCAGGACTTTCAACGAGCCAGACAGTCCTATAGTCAAAGCAGCCAAAATTGTAACAGATGTCTTACTTCGCTTCATTGGGTAGGCATGTTTTTTACTTTATGGATCTGACATCTTGAGTTTCTGAGATATTTGATTTCGTATTTTGGCTTTTGTTATTGTCCTGCAGGGATCAGAGTTGTACTGATATATTAGAAATATATAACAAGGTGAAAGCAGAAGACCTAAGCAGTACTGATGAAGAGGAGGAGGTAAGACCATTAGGTCTGATTGTCAGAACTTCTTGCCTTTTTAAATTCAGCACCTGGAAGATTTTTGTTGAGTTTTTATTTTATAAGTGGTTGCACTGAGTTTTTGAGATGAGCCTGTTTATGTCATTTGAGTTGCTCACCTGGGGCAATAACCTCCCTTAAGTAAGAAAAATCATTCTTGGAACTGCCTATCTTTAATCTTCTCTCAGTACATGACGTTTTGTTGTGTGAGGAAGTATTAGTAAGTAAGAGGAATATGAACTGGGGCTATTATTCAGTCTGCCAAACCAGGACAACAGCTCTCCCATTGTCAACGAGGCAGCAGAGCTGGTTTTCTTATGTAATTCTGTGTCATTTCCCGTCAGTTGTACTGTGGAGTGAAATGACAGGTAGAAACCAGGTTAGATATCACTTCCTTTGATTTTTTCTCTCTCCTTACACTTTCTTCCCTTAAATGCAGTTTGTAAACATTTTGAAATGTGCTGCAGTTTCTGTTGCAAAGAAGGGACCTGTTATAACCTAAGTCACATGGTTTTGTTTTACTTTTTCAGTGTTGCTTTCCAATACATGAGCTAGTATAAGATTTAGTTAGGAGGTTTCTTCCCTCCTCCCTTCCCCCAAGACATACTCCATTGTTGCAGTTTTGAAACATGTTAAACCTGATGCTGCTTGAACACCTATATGCTTATGGCTGGTGCTGTTGTCTTGGATTTGCATTGAAACTTAAAGTCTGTACTACAATGTAATAATTTAATTACTTTTATAAAACTGAAAATATAATAATGGCATCTATTTTCACGGAATATTAAAGGAGTATTTTGAAGAAAATGAGGCATTTCTATGACTTAAATAGCAAACCCTCCTTTCCCAACTCAACCTTCTTGTGCCAGTTGCGACTCTCATTTGTTCCATGTCAAGCAGTGATCAGAAGTGTCCAGAATTGCTACTGTGTCACCTTCCTTTCTCTCTAGCCTTTCAACGAGCATGTCTTGGTTTATAATAAGTTTTAAAATAAGAGAGAAATTACTTTCAGATTTTTTGTAGGAGCTTTCAAGCAATCACTTTTCCTCTTTATTTTTAAATAGTGGTTGAAAGCTGTGTACAAAGGAGTTTTTGTTGTAATTTCTAAATCCAGATTTTGAAAAGAGTATTACATACACTTCATGTAAGTAAGGTACTACATGAAACCTGAATAAACTCAGTACAGCTGCTCAGGGCATGATATTTTAGGCAGGGGAATACAGGTCTGCAAGACTGGGACTTAGCTGCATCTTAAGGTCTGAGAGTAAGCCATTCATATTTCTCACATGTTTGTTTATAATTTCTATGGAAGCAAACTTGGAAAAGAGATGAAACAACTTATCCACCTACTTTTTTTTTAAGGTATGCAAGCTCTAGTTTGAGACTAGTTTCTTGAACCATTCATTGCATTTGAGTAGTTTAAAATTGTGGTTGCTGTTGGCTGTTTGGTTTTAAATCCTTTTTTCGTTGCTGAGGACGCATACAAGCATGCGTGTGTGTAATCATTACCTTTGCCTTTAGGTGGCAGAAGTAGATGTAGATTCAGATGCTCCAGGAACTTCCTCTGGAAAAAGACGAGTGAGTAAACATTTCTGCTTGCTCTAGTTCCTGAAGGGAGACAGACCAGGTACTGAAACAGCCGTTTAGATCTGGAATGGTTTAAATTTATCATAGCTTTATAACTATCAGAGCAAATTCTACAGTCTGTAGAATAGTGTGAATTCAGTTGCATGTCTAGATAAGTGTTGGCAGACTAGGGAAGTTATTGTGCAGGAAATTTACTTAATTGCTGAAGAATTTTTTATTATTATTATTATTTGATTTGAAAAATACCTAGAGAAGATTCATTTTCAGTCAAATTTGGGTGAAAGCTGACAAAAATAGCAAGGCTGGATCTGACATACTGCATACCCCTCATGGGTTCGAGTGCTTACATATTACCAGAAAAGGCGTATTTCTGCAATTCACGTACTGCGTATTGTTGTGCCATCAGCTATGCTTTAATCTTACTGCAGTACTGTTTTTAATTGTGGCAGTCTGCTTTGAATCATAAGCAAATTGGCAAATTAATATGAACTTAAAGTGAAAAATCCGAATATTCTGAAAACTGATGAAACACATCTGTTTCCCTGCAGGTAAGACGACGAATAAAAAGACAGCCCATGAAAGCAAGTCCTGATGCTTGGAAAGAGCAATGCAAGCAGTTGTTAAACCTGATTTATGAAAGAGAGGACTCAGAGCCTTTCAGACAGCCAGTTGATCTCTTCTCCTATCCTGTAAGTACAACTTGCATGTCCAAAATTTAAAAAAGCCTGTTATTCATCCTTTGGCAAAACATCTGTGCTGGGCATGTTTCTAACGTCTCCTTTTCTGAGCTGGAACACACCGTGTTCTGTGCACTGACGTTTTCAGAGAATTATCTGCAGTTACTCTCAAGAATGAATAATTACGTGAGAGCCACTGTTGTGGATGAACACTTAGGTGTTTTTATTGCTGGTTTTTTGTTTGTTTGTTTTTTATTTGCTATTTGACAGCCTTTATTATTTTCTTGTATATTCTTACAGGATTATCGAGATATTGTAGACACTCCTATGGACTTCAGCACTGTGAAAGAAACCTTGGAAGCAGGAAACTACACTAGTCCCTTGGAATTCTACAAAGATATTCGTTTAATATTCTGCAACTCTAAAGCTTACACTCCTAATAAAAAGTCTCGAGTAAGTAATAAATTTTAATGCCCTCTTTACAAAGACCCTGGCCCTACATGAATACAGTGCATGAAATAAGGTCTGTATCTGGAGAGCAAAACACTGCATTGTGAAACAAAAATAAGTAGTATATGTCAATTTGGGGACCTAGGGTTATTAATTTGTTTTATTCTACTTACGCAGTTCACTTCTGAATTTCATTTTCATCTGAACTTTCTGAACTTAAAGCTTTTGAGAAATTGTATGGTTACTGCTGGATCTATTTCTTCGAATATTTGTAGCAGAAAACTGATCACCAGTTGCTTTTATTTTTTCAATATTTTATTCCTGGAAACAAGGCTATCCGCTTGATTACTGCATATATATAGTAGGATCTTTTTTAAGCTACTGTTAATTTTGTGTTCAAAAAGCATATAGATGTGGCACTTTGGCACATGATTTAGTGGGCATGGTGGTGTCAAGTTGGCGGTTGGACTTGATCTTAAAGGTCTTTTCCAACCTTAATGATTCTATGATTCTGTTCTATGATTCCAATGCAAGTATTATGCAATATTTCTACTACTAAAGGAGATGAGAGCATTATGATACTTAATTTTTTTCAAGTTTGCTTACTATGCTTGGCAAGACTTTTGCACAGTGTTGCCTGTGTTTCTCCGGTGCTAATCTTGCTTTTTTTGCATGCAGGAATAGGAATCTACTTAGGCAGAAAAAATGTATTGGACTGGAGCCCTAAACAGGATATGGCAAGAGGGAAAGGCGAGATCAAAAACGTTAGAATATAGATATTTTTATATGAGCTAGGTAAAGTGACTACTAAGTGTATGACTGATCACGTGAACATAGCTATGTTTGATATGTGTTCCTGTGCAGTGTATTGCCTGTCAGCCTTTCCGAAGCTGCTAAATGATGAAACGATTCTAAAATTTTACAGTGTTTTAATAATATATTGTTTATGCTCACAAAATCACAAGTTGGCAGGAGGACACAGATGCAGTTTTTACCACTGGTGATGTAGAATAGGATTTCAGTGGTTGATGTCTTCATAATATCAAAATAGAAGAAATTTTGACTGTGTTTCTAGACAATAAAGAGAATTGGGTTTGTAATGACCTTATTATTATAAGGAAAAGCTGCACATTAAATAAGATGCTTAAGTTGTGACGAAACACATCATTTAGCATAGTTAAGAGTGCTGGTTACAACGTTGCCTAATATTTCCATGTAGAAACAGGAGCACTTATAAACTATTAAGAAATGTGTACCATTTGGGGCTAGACTGAGCTACTGTTACTTAAAGCACAATAATACATAGAATTTAATATTTCTGTAAAATTTTCATGCGGCGCCTAACATGGTGTGACACAACATTTTATTATGCTAGGCACTCTCAAGCCGGATGAAGAGCAGAATGTGTTGCAAAGAGCTTTCAGTGGACATGTAAACGGTGCCGGGTGGGAGGAAGCAGGAGATTGTGCGACCTTACCCGTCGCTTAAGGATAGTAGTCTTAGCTCATCAGTGGAGTAACTACTACTGTGTTTTGTGTAAGCAGGACGATGAGAGTAAGCTTGAAGTAGGATGATGCTGTGGGAGAGGGGAATTCCAGCCGCGTGTTAGCGGGTGTGAGAGAAAGCACAAAGTTGCCGTCGCTGAAGGTAGCTGGAACTCCTGGAGTTGAGTAAGGGCTGAAAGGTGGGCTGCGGGTAAGCTCTGAAGATAAAGACCAGTAACTTTTTCTTTAATAGAAAGGAAATCAGTAGAGTATTGCAAGAAGACAGGTGATTTGAGGGTGTTTTATGTGTGCTTGACATCAGAGTAAACTTGGTGAGTTATTTACTGCTCCACACTCCCTGGGAACTTGCCTCTATTAATAACTGAGCAGCTTGTGAGTCAAATCCCAAGTACTTTATTAGAGTGGCCCATCAATATCCATTTGCTTAAATGCTGTGAAATGCCTCAGTGAGATGATTCTTGCAGAAGGGCTGGGGCAGACAACTGGGCCTTCTGCCGCTGCAGGTTCCTCTACAGCCAAATGTGTGCCAATATCCTGGGGTTTTCTAGCCCATTTTACCATCTTTGCAACAGCATCCTGAATGGAGGCAAGAAGGGCAGAGTGCTACATACCAGAGCTGCAGAAAGAGACATTGCTAAAACGTAAGGGTCTGCGCAAAAATTAAGTTATATGAATGTAAAGAAAACTCTATATCAAAGAGATTTTATATTCAGACACGCTGCAGAAAATGGGAAGTGGTCTGAGTAGAAGATGATGATATCATCTTGATGGTGTTTACACAATTTTCACAAGAGGGGATGCAGCAGAAGGGTATGGGTATGAGGAAGGAATCAAGAACTTTGTTTTATTTATGCTGAGTTTGAACTATTAGTTTGTCATAACTCAGACACATCCAAGGTGAAATCTTGAACAGAGGTGAATACAGTCTGAAATATGAAGAAACAGCCATGAGTGAATTTGTGGATGAGGCTACACAGAGGCAGGGCCTCGAAAAAGGACAGGAAAGTCATTTAAGGATTTTGACATCTGGTTACAGAAAATAGGAATGAGGACATTTTAGTTGTCTTCTGTATGCAGCTCTGTGGGGGTGGTGTAAGGACTTGCCACTAGGGAATTAAAGCAAAAAACAAAGGTGAGAGGGCAGCAAAGTTCAATTGTTTTCCCTTGGTACATCAGGTTAGCTTATGGGGTGCTTCCATGCTTTATGGAGATTAAAAAAGGAGGCTATATTTCAGTAATCTAGATATCCATTTTCCTTTAACTCTATAAATATTTTGTGCTGTAAGTAATTAAAACCTTTTATGAAAACACTTTCTGTTGCTGGAATACCATTGTACCATGGAAGGAAATTATCTGTAGAGAACCTTGTAGTTGAATGTCACCATGAATTTTTCTTTTGTGCTACAAAGTTGGGGCATCTTTATGATTTTTTTTTTTCTTTTTTTTCTGATCTTCTAGTTATTCAACTTCTAATAAGTATGACAATGCTTTCTCACTCCAGATTTACAGCATGACACTTCGACTATCTGCCTTATTTGAAAATCATATGAAAAATATAATTTCTGAGTATAAGTCTGCAATGCAATGTCAGAAGAGGAAAAGGCCACGGTACCGAAAACGGCTAAGGAGCAGTAGCAGTTCACCGTCAACTAGCAGAGCATCTAGGTAATGTAATGATAGTGAGGCTTGCTGTCAGTGTCCTTTGAGATGAAAGTGGTAGACATGCCTTCCTGAATAAGTAGTCAGTAACAGTATTGCTCATTTCCTGATGTCATTGCTCTTTTGGGTGATAAAATCATGAGCTCAATTTGTAGTTTATGCATAATTCTGGTAAATGAATAATATAATAGAAATATATAATACTTCTATATAATTAGAAGTATTCCCTCTGGAGAAAATGGAAGAGCAAGTTTGTTTTTGCCTTCGTTTGATAACTGTTGAAAAAAGAGTTGTATAACACTTTTTTGACTTCTGTGTGATACATTAGCTAAGTAAACTGAGTATTTGTTTTAAAAGGTGAGATAAAATCTTGTTCTTGCAGACTTACATGCCTTTCCCAAACAGAATGATATTGTCACTATTTTTAGTATTTCTACACCTGTGCAAGCATTGGGAAGAGATCATTTGTGTTACGCATTTGCTGCAAAAACCAAAACACTTTGCATAGGAAATTAGTTTTGTGTTTGAGTCTCTTGGCACTAACAGTTTTATCTCTTCGGGATATTTTGTGTTTTCAGCCCAAAAGGGAAACAGAAGCAAATGAAGATTCAACCTAAACCCAACCAGAATACCTCACTGCCTTTGACTAGGACTAGTTCTTCAGTTTCATCTCATGGTGAGGAGAAATTTTCTAAAATGCATCCTTTCTCTTGCAGCAAATTGTATGTGCAGAACGATGAAAAAGCTGAAGGATATTTAATGTTCGGTTTAAATCGTATCTTTGTGAGACGCATGCAAAACCTACCTGTTGAAAAAGCAAGTAGCAAAGTCACGTTGTCTATAGACTGTGTTAGCTGACCTTGGCCCTCCTGCCATTATTGGTAAAGGTCAGAGAATAGGGAACCTGGGACTGTCCTTGGTAACAATTAATCTGGTGACAAGAGCCTGGATTTCTTGTATATGGGCTTTTCTCATACAGTGATTACAAATACATTAAGCTTACTTTGGATTACATCCTGGAAGAATCTATCTATTCATGACTGCAGAAGCAGCTTGGTGAGATTAACCTCCTAACTTGGGCTGTTAACTCAGGTGATACAAAACTTCCCCAAAATGCCTTGCATTACAACTCTATGAACAGAGGATAAAAGTTACTCTGTCACATTAGCGGTGTCCTGTCTAAAGTTTCAGATACAGCAGAAGAACCTCTGGGTTCAGCCACTGGTGAAGAGATGGAAGGCCAGCCATCTTCCTCAGGCTCAAATGCACAGAACCGAAGTGGAAATACCATTGATCCAGGGAAAAGTAGACCAATCAGGAGTAAAACTACACCAGTGAAACAAGGTGAGAAATAATAAGTATTCTGTTCTTTGAATGACTGGTTGCACTGGAAAGGAAAGATGTTGCTTCTTTCTAATGCTTATGATATTGTTGCCTGAGTCTGGCATTACACTATATCCCCAAACCATACTAAAAAAGTGAATTTACCTTACTTTTCACAGCTCTATGGTCTCTTGTCCGAAGTGTGGCATGCACATGATGCCACATGTGCTTCAGTGAAGTCCTTTATAATCTCTCCAGATGGAAAAGCTTGATTGCTCTTAAACTTCTTGAGAATTACAGTTCCTTCAGGAGTTATAAAAAAGCAAACCAAACCAAAAGAATCCCCACCCCAAAAGATTGTCTTTTTCTTAATTAAGTTGAAACCAGAAATGAAAACAAATTACAAATTTTTAAATATTTTTGTCATAGTCAAAGCTAAGTGGTTGTGATTAGAAGTGGAAACACTCTGTTCAAAAGCTTTGCTATTTTCTCTCTGGGACATGTTAATCAGACTTTCCACTGAGGTAGGCATCAAATGAACATTGGCTGAAACCCTGAAGCTTTTGTCAAGTCCTTACTCCTGTGCTGTAGCAGTGTTGCAGGTGAGCTTTTCGTATCCCGTGTTAAATCTAATTTAAATTTCATTGTCAGATTGGTAACTGAAAACATGCGGTATTTTGGGTCACAAGCCATCAAAATACTTCACTATAGTTTTAAGTTAAGGTGTTCAGTCCTAGTGAGCACATTATTTTAATGTGTATTTTTAGGTTTGGAATGGATTTTGAAGGTTTTTCTGCCTTGACGCCCTCGGTAGGATTCATCTGACTGAACGGTAGATGTTTGTGTTTAACCTGGTCCCTCTGGGCTCCTCTTATTGACTGGATCTTCGCTGAACTAAGAAGTCAAGACAATTTGCAGTTCTTGCTTCCCGCTAAGATGAACTGTGCTTGCTTTGTCTGATAAATTTCCCCTTAGAGCAGTGTTTGTCTCCACAGCATATGAATGTCGTCTGTGGCGAGTAGCTCAGAGCTGGATCGTCCCCAGAGCACACCTCAAAGGCAGCTGAGGCGAATCCGACCTTTTGTATCCTGTTTGGCTCAGGCGTGATGATGATAACCGATAGGGTTATTTTGTGTTTGCTTAGATCACTCTCCTGATGGACCACTTACAAATGGTGATGGCAGAGAACCTCGGACGGGAATCAAGAGGAAGTTACTAAGTGCATCAGAAGACGAGCATCTGGAGGAGGTGGAGGAAGAGGAAAAGAAAAAGAGAGAATTAAAGGAAAAATCTGGTTTGTCTTCATCAGAAAGTGGGGAATCGGGATCCAGTTCAAGTTCTGAAAGCAGAAGTGGCTCTGATTCAGACTCTGAATCAACGTCTAGAACAGATCAGGATTACATTGATGGAGACCATGACTACAGCAAAGTTGTGCAATCCAAAAAACCCAAAAGAAAAATCAAAAGAAGAATCACCGGTGGGAAACGGAATTGGCAGGGCAGAGGGACAGGGAGGAGAGGTAGATGGGGGAGGTGGGGGAGATGGAGTAGAGGGGGAAGAGGTGGTAGAGGTGGAAGAGGCTGTGGCAGAGGAAGAGGTGGCGGCAGGGGAGGAAGAAGAGGCCGAGGAGGCAGAGGAGCCTCACGAGGAGCCACCAGAGCAAAACGTGCCCGAATTACAGACGATGAATTTGAAAACCTGTTTGGAGGACAATTTGGTGAAAACGTGTTTGGAGGGCGATTCAGTAGACCGCCTCGAATCAAAACAAGGAACGAGGGCAGGAGAACTGTCTTGTACAACGACGATTCTGATAATGACAATTTTGTGCACACCGAGGATCCTTTGAACCTTGGTACTTCCAGGTCAGGCAGGGTGCGGAAAATGACAGAAAAAGCCAGGGTCAGCCATCTCATGGGATGGAATTATTGACAGATGAAAAACTTTGGAACAATTTTAAAAGAACTTCAATGGCCTTCTACTGCAGGGATTTTACCAGAAAATCTACCAAGCAAGTTGTGCGGGGACTCCACTCACGTTTCACAGTGGTGCTTTTCCATTACGTCCGTTTGCGTTTGTTTTAAAACTTCAGATCGCCACACTTCATTGGTCAAAACAAGCCTTATTCATTAGGCCTTAAATTACAGAAATTCTTCCCCACACACTACGAGTTCATCACATTAAAGAGGCTTCCAGCTTCTCAATAAGAACATGACATTTTGAGTCACGATTATGACTTCCCTCCCTTGTTTTGTTTTTGTATTATAGAAATAGCACCTTCTTACAGAGTTTTTATGTGGTTTCTGCCATAAATCCTTATACACAGTAATAATTATAACTTTTGCACAATACACCAATCCTAAAGGCAGCTATAAAATGTTTACAGTTTCTATATTGTAAGAAGGATCTGGATTATTTTAATCTTCCCAGGCCAAATGTTCATGAATTGTGCTGAACTGAAGTATGTCTATACTACAGTTACGGGGGTCCTGATGTGCTTTCTATCGGTTCTTTATTTGTGTAAAAAGTGACAAAGGGTTGGTGCCTTGTAAATATGTAGCAAACCTTTGATGTGGTGTGTCCTATGTGTGCATTAACTTTATTAAAAAGAGAATACTTGAGAAGTATGAATATCTAGACAAAAGGTGCCAAATGCAAAAGTTACGTGCATCTATTTTCACTTTGTCCTCTCATATTTTTATAGTATTAATAGAGATTGTGCAGCTAAGGGGTAACTTCAACATTTGAAAGGTTCCTCCTCTTCAAAGCATAGCGTGATTTTTAATAGTAGCTCAGCTACCTCTATTTACAACTACTGGAAACTTAAAAGAAAATAGATGCTATTACTCAGTACGTGTTGAAGAAGAGGGAAGAAGGAGCGTAGAGGGATGGAATTGCTCGCGAAGTTGTAGAGTAACTATATCTTCATTATGTTGACACAAGGAAAACAAATCTAATTAATTCTCAGAGTTTTCAGCAGCGTAATGTTTTCAGCAGATGGCGATTTGTTTGTCCAGACAGGCCGACTCTCTCCCAAACTGCTGCCACTTGCTCGGTGCAAATCTGTTAGGTTTAATTTGCCCCTTGAAGGTGATGAGGGAGCTGAACGGAGCTCTGGTACCTCCGGTGGCAGGCAGTACGGGTAAGCCCCTGTTCACATCCTCCAGACGGACGCGTGTAACTCAAGCTTCCAGAAGAGAATTCGTGTTGCACTGTACCCTTGTTATCCTGAAAAACGCTAACTTGAAAACAGAAATCACTTTGGTAGTAATAGTACAGTATGTGACGACATTTGTCGTCTCGCTCCTCGGTGAACAGGAAGAGGCGTTTGGCGCGGGCTGAGCTGGAGATGAGCAGCCTCTTGCATTGTAGGGTCTGGCTGGAATATATATGGGACTTCCATTTTCTCCCGTTGTCTAAACGAATCTGACCGTTCTAGCTTGGTTAAGAGAGCGAGTTAGATTACACAGAGAGAACAAATGAAAAAAGAGGCTAGAATGTTTTGGTGGAGTTTTTTGAGGGGGGGTTTTGTGTTTGTTTTTTTTTTTTTAAACTTTCATCCAATATCCTTAAGTTCTTCTGTGCACAGCTTGGTCAACAATTCTGGAAAACCTCAGGCAGCAAAGAGTGACCCATGTATATTCTCAGATGCAGAAGGGATTTAATTTTTTACTTTCTATATTAAGCGCTAGCTGTTTTATCTCGCTTTCCAAAAATGCTAGTTAGATGCAAAATTACTTGAAAAAATGCAGAGGTTTAGTTTTGTGATGGAGGAGAGTATATCCTAAATTGCTCAGAGAATTAATACGAGTTTATGGTACCGTACAAAAATCACACTTTTAATTTTTTTAAGGAATGTTTTGGATCGGCCATAATCCATTGCTGGACTTGATTCAGTTGTGTTTTGATGGGGGGGAAAAAAAGAGTGCAGAGGCTCTCCTACTTCTGTGTTGGGCTTTAAAATATAAACACCTGTCCTATCATCTCTGTCATATATATGTATATATACACACACATATATATTTATAAGAAATGTATTATTTCTTTGACTGATCGATTCTTCTACATACGGTAACCAGGAATAGCATGTATGCATCAGTTCATAGTCAGAATCATACCCCTTTAGGTCAGTCCTGTTGAGCTAATGTAAACACTATGGTTTCTGTTCTAAAGCCTGAAAATCTTGACGTGCAAAAGAAATGCTTTTCATATATGTCTGACTGGCTGAAGATCCACTTATTTATTTTGTGTAGGGGTTTGGGAGAGATAAAACACGTGGATTCCAGAGAAATCATTTTATAAGTTTGTGTATTTTAGCAGCAATTAGAATACTATTCAATATGTTCTTACATGTATCTTTTCTATGTAATGAAGTACTGTGAAGATAACAGTGAAGCATCACTTTGCTGTGGCGTAAGTATTAATCAAATGTGTTACATGATTAAGAGCTAGACAGCAGGGTGTGCTAGAACAACAACTATTGCTTATTGTAAAAAAAAAAAAGCTTTTGTGCATGAGAACCTTTTATAAGCATGGAAGAAATAACTTGTTTTTAGAGATGTTATTTTTACTTGCTTTTGTATCTGGATTCTTTCTCAGAGTTAGGCAATTGATTTCTCATAGCCTCGTTCTGTGGAATAATTATAATTTCGTAGTAACTTGGACACTTTCTCTCAAAACCCAGATCCTATTAGGAGCCACTTACGGTTGCAGAAAACTTAGTATTGACCCAAGAGGTGCAGCAGAAGCAGGAAAATTATTTAAACCTTGTACCGTCTTGGTCCCTGATCCAAAACCTGGGCGCTCAGCAAGCATCTCATGAACTTGCCACGCTCCTAGCTGCTGCACTGCCCGCTGTGTTGCGGAGTCAGGACCTTAGTCTCTCTCCTCGCACTTTTACCAAAAAAACTCCAAAACTCTGCCTAAGGAAAGGGTTTGAAGTTCTGATGAGGTGTCGGACTCCTGAAGGCTAACAAGGCGTGCAGGCAGGCCAGGGGTTCTCTGCTGCAGTAGGATTAATTCTCAGGCAAGGTTTTCTCTAGGTGTGCGATTGTGGGTGATCCCTCTCCCGAGTTGCCGGGGGACTTGAGGGCATTCGGAGTCACCTTGGAAAATGGGGCTCGCGCCCCAAGGGACTTTACTCGCAGCAGAGCGTGAGCCCCACGCACTCCGTCCTCTGTGGGGATTGGGATGAAGGTCTTGTGTGCATCTTCGTTCTCCGATTTCTCCTGGCTACAGATCTGCTGTAGCGCTCCCGTTTCTTCCCAGACCAGGACATGAATGACGAAGCTTATTTTGCAGTAGCGAAGTGCTGTTGTCTCGGTTCAGCCCAAACTTTCCCTGCTTTTTATTTTCTCCATCACCTTTTGCTTTTCTCTTTGCCATGCTCCACCTCTCTTCGTTAGCTTCCCTTTATTGCCCCGTAGGTTATTTATGGTACTCTTTTGGAAACTTAAGATATCTTGATGAATTAGATTTCGGCTAGACTGTAAGATTTAGTTCTTTCTATGCCTCTTTTCCCCCAAGACTTTCCATATTTTTTTATATCTGCCTGCCTTTGTTTACTAGCAACATACCCAAACTGCTGGAGGTGGATCTAATGAAGATGGAAAGTTTGAGGGCTGGCTTCTCAGCTGCTCCGCACCTCTGCGGCCACCCGTAGCCCGCGTAGAGATTCTGCCAGAACAGACGGGGCAGCTTGTGCCTTCCCTGGCTCCGAGGCAGGAGGCTGCAGGATGGCTCCCGTTGTGCTGCCCGACACCCAGCTACCTAAAAACACTTGGTTCCCCCTGCTGCCCCTTGACACCCGCCCTCCCTATCTACGCAATTACTCCTTTTTTTCTTTTCCCTTGCTGTGTGAATTGCAGTTAATATAACCCTTCTAGAAGTCATATGCTTCCAGCCTCACGAGAGATTTGTTTTAAATAACCCATGATACTTTTATATTGGTGCTTGAACTTGAATGGGTCTGGGCGGTTTCATCACTCCTCTCTTTCCATCACTCCTTTCTCCATAAACTAAGCAGAGGCCACCCCCTTATCCCAGTCCACCCCACCCTGCAGATAAACAAGCTAAATATAATACTGAAGAAAGACTTTGTGGAGGATTTTTGGCTGCTTAAAATTTTGCGTCCTGTTGCGTATTTTAATTTTCCCGGAATGTTTTCTCAAATGTGCAGCTCGGCTGCTTCTCCCGCACAAGAGCGGAAAGACTGTGTAGTACATAGAGCACTGAAAAGAACTGATGCCGGGTGCGTAGTAAAGAGAGTTTTCAAGTAATTTAAAAATTGTGGAAAGACCAACTACAGTGTGTTGCTTTTGACAGTGTTTGGAGGCTCTCTTGACCGCAAAAAGCAAGATGAACCTTGTCAAGCATTGGAAAAAGCTGCTCCTGGGTGTCGCTGTCATGGCTTTGACAACCGTTCAAAATCACACAGTATTAACATGAGAAAATAAGTGTAAATCCCTAATTTTTGTTAAGAACGTGGTTAATATTTCATCTTTAATCTCAGCGGTGAGTAACAGGGAAAACTGAACAGCTGTAGGTTTAAGGAGCGTCTTGTCAGCCCTGACTTGGAGCGTCCTGCTATCGTTGGTCTGTGTCATGAACTCGATGTTTTAAAAATGTATTTGTGTGTTTACATGTCTTGATTTTATTTCTTTTTTAAAACCATCATGCAAAGTTTAATAAAAAGCTAATTATTTACATGATAGACTGAAGGAGCAGTTAACAATCCACGGATAAATCTATATTTAGTATTGTAGGGAGCTGTCATTGTGTTCTTACAAGTATGTATTATAGAAAATTACTGCGCATGTGCGATAGATAATTTTCAAATATTAGTATATCAGAGGTTTACACATTGAAAAAAAATAAAAAACCTGACTCCTTTATGTACAGTAAGTAACAGCCTGCAAAATTTAGTCTAAAAGTTGTCTTTTTTAGTATTAGAAATGCAAAGACCTGTTGGAAGCTTGTACATTTTTAATATGTCATGTTCAGCCCACAGCAAACAACAACTGTGCTATGAATCCCTGAAAAATTAGATTTCCAGTGGAATTGCTGTCACAGCCTTAACTCTAGTATTATAAAAATGGTGCTTAAATACGTTTATGTGCATGGATGTGGGTACCTGATAAGAGTTTGTGAGAATTTAAAGCAAAACCGAGCAGCTTTGTGCTGCGCTTGCGAGCTAATACTCCTGGTCGATAACGCAGCCACGTTTGGGAACCGAGAAACGTGTAAATATTTGGAAAATCTTTAAACCGTCGGACAATTAAGAGCAGTTTCTCAGTTTTGGGGTTTTTTTAATTGGCAAGCACTGCATATCTTCCCGATTTCTGGGTCTGTGAGAAGCAGGCAGGACGGCGAGAGGAGCTGCTCCGGAGGCCGGGGGAGCCGAGGTCCTGCCTGAATGTTCGCAGGAGGGGTTGATTTTTGGCAGACAAAATCAAAATCCTCTGTTTTTCTCTCCTTAAAAATGCCTCCTCAGAGAGTGGTGGCTGCTCGGATATACTCAGAAATCAGAGTCTGAGGATTATTTTTCTGTAGAAATACTAATACAGGCTATTCATTCCTCCATGAGTCATTATAGCAGACTTCATTTAGAAATACCAGTTGATGTTGGAGCGATGAAATTCATGTGCTACAGGCTCTACAGTTCATGTTCTGGATGATTTAAAAATACTCCAAAAATGCACAAAACTATTAGAATTATGTCTACTTTCTATATTATTTTTTTTCCAGGTGATATTTCTGCCCATATCTTCACATCCGCGATCTCAGGTCCCTTTAAATGAATACTTCAGGGATTTTGATGCCACTT